CTTTTAAAAAATAAAGAATAAAAAATAAATTTAGTATTGAGAGAAAATCCTATTTATTGATGTTTATAAAATAATATATATATATATATATATATATATATATATATATATATATATATATATATATATATATATATATATATATATATATATATATATATATATATATTATATATATATATATATATATATATATATATATATATATATATAATATAAATATATATATATATATGTGTGTGTGTGTGTGTGTGTGTGTGTGTGTTTGTGTGTGTGTGTGTGTGTGTGTGTGTATGTAAGTTTGTGCATGTGTGTGTATTGATAAATGTAAATATAAAGTGTAAATATATAGATAAATGTAAATATAAAGATAAATATATATATATATATATATATATATATAAATATATATATATATATATATATATATATATATATATATATATATATATATATATATATATATTTTCTATATATTTATACATATATATATATAAATATATATATATGTATAAATCATGTATATATAAATAATTATACATCAAATTAAATGAAACAACACAGTAACAAGGGTGTCAACATACGTAATAATCTTAATAATTATTTATACAACCCATGATGAAAAATCATTAAAAGGAATGAAACATCACAGGAACAACAAAATATATACAATTTATTTATCCATTTACCTATTTCTACAGCCAAGATATTACAAATCTTTGCATATATATATATATATATATATAAATATATATATATATATATATATATATATATATATATATATATATATATATATATATATATATATATATATATATATATATATATATATATATATATATAAATTAATATGTATATATTAATTTATATATAACACAGACACACAAAAATATCAATACTATTCCATAAAACACAAAGTGAAAAGTCTTGGTGCAATTTTGATGTCTTTTGTTAAAATTCCCTTATTATACTTGTAACTTAGTTACTCTTTTTTTTAAATATTGTATCGATCATAGTTTATAGATCATAGAGTATAGAATATAGAAAATTAAAAAATATCTTTAAACGACAAATAACTAAACAAAATAATAGTCTTAAAATAATCAACCAAAACAAGTAGACATATTTATATAACCGAGTTTGCGCATAATATTGTATGCGCTAAGTTGATAGTATTAATTTTTTTTACTTATTTTTAAGGTAATTAGGACGTCTTAGGTATGTCTTAGCGACGTCAATAGGACGTCTAAATATTCAAGTCCTGATATCGTCTTTATATTAACGTCACAAGGACGTCCTAACAAAGACGTCTTTACCAGACGTCTTTAGGACGTCCTAATTTGGTCTGAGACGTCGCAACTTAGTTAAGACGTCCGTAAGACGTTTGATTCACGTCTGTGCCCGCTGGGTATACATATATCCTTCTTATATATATTCTTCTTGTTTCTTTTTGTTTGTCTGTTTTAATTTTGTTAAAAAAAAAAAAAATATGAGTAGATGAACTTAAATCTATAAAATGTTCGGAATCTTTTTTAATTCAAAATATCTTTTGTATATTTAAATATATATTATGAAGTTTATTGGATATGTATACGCATATGTACGGATTTGTAAATTATTTTTTCAAATTTTTTTATTTTTTTTGATTTTCAAACTTTTCAGTTTTGTCAAACTTAAAAATTATTTTTTCAACTTTTTGATTTTTTCAAACTTTTAAATTTGTTTTTTTTTAACTTTTTTTACTTTCACTCTTTTATATATTATTGGAAATTGTAAAATTTTTTTATTTTTTATATTTTCGCGAAGGGGCTTGATGATAAGACATTTTGTTTTCTACTTGCCCCAGTCAGCTTGCATTTGTATAAATTTATTCGAATGTAAGATTAACATCGTAAAATGTGTGAAATGACGAAAATAAATTAATTAAGATCTGAATTAAGAACATACAACTCTGCGAGGAAAAATTTAGATCATGTTTGTTTTGTTAGAAAATTAGAAAAGATTTAAAAAAAAAATTAAGAGAAAACGAAAAGATTTGAACCCTCGCGAAGCACTTTAACCACTTTAGCATGTTTCAAAAGAATAAATAATAATCTGTATTGAATTAATTTAATTAGTGTATTAACTGGAAACCAATTTATTTAAACATAATAATATACAAAAAAAATTCAATTAAACTTGCATTATCAGTAAAAGTTTGGTAGATTAACCAATATTTGGTTTAATTGGTAGAATAACTAACTTCATAAATACTAAGTATAGACGCATCATTTTTTTTATCTCTTTTTCACTCTCCTCCTCAACATATATATATATATATATATATATATATATATATATATATATATATATATATATATATATATATATATATATATATATATATATATATATATATATATATATATGTCAAAGTTATTGATGCGCTCTCGATTTAAAATATTTAACTGTGGCGTTGTTAAACAGCTGTAAATTTCTAAATTTTATTATTATGTTAATATTAAATAGTTTTAAATTTTAATTATTTTTAAAAACATTAAATTTTATAAAGTAATTTAGTTTAAATATAAAATTAAAAATTTTAATTATGTTCCCAATCAAAACATATTTTTTATACCCCTTTTACCGTTTTTAAAAAAAGTTAAGGTCGCCGCGTGGTAAGTCCAACAGCTTGTTTGTTTTGTTGCTTAAAATGAAAATCAAAAAACTTTGTAGTTTTAAAGATTTTATTTTCTATGTAAAAACATGTTATTTACTAATTTTCAGTGCACGAACTCAACTTAGTTGTAAATAAACTTGAAATGTTAAACTAAAATAATATAAGTATCTCAATAACGACACATACGAAAAAAAGTTAAAAATAAAAGTCGCCGGTTGAACGACTCGAGCCACGTCTTTCTTGTTTCGAAGTTCATCGCTCTAACCACTCGGCTATGAAATCACGTTGTTAATTAGAATTTTAAAACTATATAAAAATTGTTTTTAAGAATATAGATGCTAAAGATAAGAGATTAAGAAGAGGTTGACGCAATGGAGTTTTTAAGTGAAAATCAAATTGTAAAATTATGTTTATGCATGATTTAACATTAATAACATGAAGTTTACGTACGTGCTCACGTTTTCTTATTAAGAAAAGGTGAGACTCTTTCTGGCCAATACCTCGATTTAACCATGATTACTGTCTTGGAATGAATAGCATGATTTTTAATAGTACTACTTTGTAATAGGATTAGAAATCATGCCATTCATTCTCAGACAGTAGTCATGGTTGATTAAATTGTCAAAAAAATACGCTTTAAAAATTGACGCAGTTTAGCCGGTACTTTAAACACCTTTAGTACCTGTTACCAGTCAAATCCACTATTATCTAAGGTACATAGTTGACCATCGTTTCTACTTGTGATAGGAGTACGCGTTGAGAAATTTTCAGCTTTTATAAAAACACATAGGTCTTGCGGCTGCAGGCTCTTAGATTAAAAGTTTAATAAATAGTTTTTTTACTAAACTGTTTAACAATTATATAGCAGACCAAAGTGGTCATAATGCTTTGCGAGGGTTAAAATCCTTTCGCCTACACACTTAATTTTTTTTTTTAAATTTTTTCTAATTTTCAAGAAAACAAAGTAAAACATATTTAAAAACCTATAGATATTATATGCATAACATACATAAAGATATTATATACTATATAATATCTTTATGTATGTTATGCATATAACATACATAAAGACATTATATAGTATATAATATCTTTATGTATGTTATGCATATAATATATTGCGTGATTTAAAATCCTTTCACCTACAAACTTTATTATTATTTTTTTTAAATCTTTTCCAATTTTCTAGAATACAAAGTAAAACATATTTAAAAGCCTATAGAAATTATATGCATAACATACATAAAGATATTATATACTACTAGCAAAATGCAACCCGTAATACGGGTTTTGGTCGGTCTGTTACATAATTAGTTTATAGTGGCTGTTTTCCACAATTTAATGTTGTAAAAGCTTAACTAATACCCTTTTAGAAAAAAGCCTTAGGCTTGAAAAAGTTAATCCATCTGTAAAGTTAACATAAAAAGTATGAGGAGGTAAAATAGTTTACTAATTACTACTTAACATTATTTGAGTAATTTACAACTGACTTAAGTCTTAATAGTGTAAGGCAAAATCATTTTCATCGACCTTCCTAAGTTCAACACAATACGTTTTTATTTACTGACACAAATTAATAATTCTTCTTCAGGCTATATTTGACGAAAGTATTAACTAAATCCTTGTAATAATTTTTATAACATGAATCATTAAGATTACAATAAAGTTAACTTAGCAAAAAGTAACCTGTAATACGCGTTATGGCCGGTCCTGTTACATAATTAATTTATAGTGGCTGTTTTCCACAATATAAAGTTGCAAATTCTTAACTAACACCCTTTTTAATATCAACTCAATTCTTGTAACATTTTTTATACCATAAACCTTAATTATTTATTAAAATTATCATGAAGTTAACTTATATTATATTATACAGGAGTTATTAACTTTTGGTATCCCCTCTCACGTTAGATACTTTTTTAGAAAATAAAATTTGTTATCTCAACCTGTTCGCTGCCAACTACGAGAATACTCGTACCAAGTAAACGCTTAATATTTGCCAACTACGAGTATACTCGTAGTAAGTAAACGCTTGATATTTGCCAACTACGAGTATACTCGTAGCAAGCCGGCGTCCTGATTTTGCCATCTACGAGAACACTCGTAGTTATACTAACTTATTTCAAATAATATTTGTGCATGATTGGCTTTATCTATTTAGTTTTTTTTTTTTTTTTAGCTTCACAGTTGATTCTCATAGCAGAATACACATAAGTTTTTACTTTAAAAATCCCGGGAATGTAATTTAAATACGGAAAAAAAAATATTTTTTTTAAACAAAAAGAAGTAAAGTATTGAATTTTTTTAAATTTTATTTCTCGAAAATTAAAATGTAAACCTATTCTTTTGAATGATACATTCTGAAACATTCGCAAACGCATAACGGAGGTCTATTTTCACAAACAGCACATTCATATCGTGTTTCTTTTCGTTTTATTTTAGAGCAAACACGACATGGTTTTGTAGGCAGTTTTTTCTTTTCATTCGGCGGTATCGAAGACATGTAGTGGAGACTATTATAGGTGATTCGAGGAACAATTTCATTTAAGCGATCACCCAATAAATCCGTAACAAATAATTCTCTAAACTTAAGCAAAGAAGTTGTTTTATCTACTCCGTGTTTGCTGCTTAAGCAGTAAGCGTTAAGCACAAAAATATCAAAGAGATGAAGTGCTACTTTCTCATACCATCTAATGTTTTTCTTAGGCAATCATAATATGATACCATTTGATCCGCCTTATCTACTACTCACATATATTGATTATAATCTTTTATAATGTTGGGTTTCATTTTCTTCTCTCTTCTCCTGTTTGTTATTTCAATCATTTGTAACGAATGCAAGTTGCTAATCATTAGCACGTCTCTTTTATTTTTCGCAACCACTACACCCTCTCTGCTTCTGCTTATAACGTCACCCCGTTTCAGTTTAGCTTTTGTACATTCTTTTGGATTTGACTTTCGGTCAGTTCTTAACGTACCACATATGTATGTGTTTTGACTTATCATGGGCTTTGTTAGTACAAAAGAATTGTAGAAGTTATCGGTGTACAGGTGATAACCTTTTTCTAGAAACTTTTCCATTAAGTCTAAAACAATAGCTCCAGTTTGACCCAACAAATTTTTATCGAGAGTTGTCTCACCAGAGTAAATTTTTACTTTTAGCACAATACCATCCGATTCGCAAAGCTCATAGAACTTGATACCATACTTATGTCTTTTATTTTTAACATATTGCCTGAATACAAGACGTCCCTTCCAAAACATCATTGATTCATCGATTGAAATATTTTCGTTCGGACAGTAGATGTTGTTCATTGTATATTTATTATATAGTGATCAATAAGTCCAATAATTTTACACAAGCGTCCACCATCCGAATCTTCATTGTCAATGAAATGCCAGAACCGTAACATTAGTTGGAATTTATTTCTTGGCATTATTCTAGAAAATAAGGAAAATCTATAGAGACTGTTCTTAGACCAGTAGTGTTCAAAGGATGGCAATTTAACACATCCCATATGAAGAAGAACACCAAGGAACTGCCGCATATCTTCTGAATTTATTGGTTTCCAATTTATAAAACGCTAGCTTCTTCTAAGCGGACGCTGCTTATTGATTTCTTGCATTGCGTAGCGATTAGTTTCAACTACCATACTATTTATAAGCTCTTCTTTAACAAATAGTAGAAAGAAATCCAATGGTTTATTGCTTTCCATGTTAATCTTTAAACCAGGAGTGGCAGTAAATTTAATTTTCTTAACAATATTCTGCTCTTATTTCCATTGATTTAAGTTTCTAGATGGATTTGTTTCAGAAGTTGTTTTGTCAGGCAAAATATTTCTTAGATTAACTTGCCGAGCTTTATTTTGGTTTTGTCTGTAAGCAAAACCACCCGTTGTTCTAGCTCTTTTCAGAGGCATTAAAAAATGTTCTGCAGTGGCTGCTGTATGAACTTCTGTTAACTGATCGTCATCACTTTCTTCACTGCTATTATCTTCAGATTCTGATTCTGATGCAGTCAAGCTGGAAGACGTTGTATTATAAGCAAAAAATGAGTCTGAGTCTTCAATATCATCATCTTCACTATCTCCACAATCTTCCATAACTATTTGTGCTGCTTCAATTGCGGAATATCTGCGTTGAACTTCTATTTGATAGATAAATTTATAAGTTATATATTTGTATAAAGGAATTTACTTATTTATACTAAAAAATTTTACAAGTTTACATGTAAAACATTATAAACTAAAATGCACACTTAGGTTTTTCACCCTTTATTCATAACAATGTAGTGTCAAATTTATTTTAGGTTATATCCAAAAAAAATAACGTAAAAGTAAAAAATCGAAATATAAATTACCTTTTTTAGTCATGATAGCTGCTGATGATAATGATAACAACAATGAAATGATAATGATAACAACAATGAAATGATAACAACAATGAAATGATAACAACAATGAAATGATAACAACAATGATAGATAAAAGATGATAAAATGATAAAAAAATGATAAAAACAATGATAGATAAAAGGCAGATGATAATGATAACAACAATGAAATGATAACAACAAAAAACACAACTCTATTCTATCACATCTCTATTCTTATGCATCAAATAAGCTACATTGTTAGTCACCACAATGAGTTATACTCAAAATTACTTACGAGTATACTTGTACTTCGGCACTGGAGAAAACAAATTATTTACCAGTGCCAAAGTACGAGTATACTCGTAGTGCTTTTTTTTTGTCAATTATATTCAGTATATAAAGTACTATAAAAAATTATTTGATTAAAAATATTATAATTATTGAAATGTTGATATCTTACTTTGGCAATTGGAATGAAACCATGCAAAACAGCTTCGGCAAAAGTTAATCATATCAGAATTTACGGCTCGGCAAAGAAATAAACCATAGCTAAAAATAGCTCGGCAGTAAACGTGTTAACAACGTTAAATGCACTTCACTAAGTAAATTTATTTTTATTTAGTGAAGTGCATTTATTATAAATAACTAAGCAATTGAGTACAAAAACGTTTTAAAAAAAAAATAATTTACATTCAAACATGTGTATAACAATTTTTTAAAAAAACGTTAACTTTGATATTTTATGTTGCGTCATACGACAAACCTAAAATAAAAATTGTAACAGATAAGTAGGCATAAAAAACGAGTAAAAAATAAAATAGACATAAAAAAGAAAGAAAAAATGATTTGGAAAAAAATTTACCTCATTTTGGTAACCTGTTATTGTACTTCAGTTGCTGTCATGATGCAACAGTATTTGTCGGTGTTGCTTTAATGACGTTATTTAATGTTGGCTTTCAGTAAGCTTTAGTTTAATTTAGAAGACAATACATTATATTTAAAATATTTAAATTAAGAGCAAAACAAAATGCTTTAAGGGGCTAAACTATAAACATTTAAGATAAAAAATCAAATTGACATATAAGTTAATTGCATTTATATAGCTAAATATAGTCTTGGCATATATTAAATTTTAAAAGCAGCAACTACAATATATTATTTTTAACAATTAAATGTAGCATCATTATACTATGATAATTGGATGAATCAATTTAACTGTATTTTAAGTTTAATTTAGTTTTCATTTTAATTAAAAAAGAAGAAATTAAATCAAATATACAACAGTTTATATTATCAAAAAAAAAAAAAAAAATTACAAACTTAAACAAAAAAATCACAATATATAAAAAAAAAAAAAAAATAACCGAAGAAAATGCAGCAACAAAAAAGTTATAAATATTATAATTGATAGAAGTAATTTATAACTCTTTTATTGCTGTTTGATCTTTGGTGTCTCCTAACACCCCGGTATGGATGAACCCTCCATTTGAAGGAGGGCTTATCCATACCGCCATTAGAACACCCCTTATTAAAGGACCTCTCTGAGTTAGGCCCTGGGTGTTGGGAGCGATATTTTTTGTACATCTCGAATGTTAGTTGATCTAAAATAACAAATAGAAGAATATAATTAAAGTTATAAATAATTGGAATTTTATTTAATCAAAATATAAAGCATAACCTCACCATTTTTAAAAGTAACAGAAGAAGATGCTTAAAACATTAAAAAAAAAATGACTAAATTAAAAAAAGCAAAACAGGAACAGTTAAAATATCATATTTATTAAAAATCATAAAAACTTGCGATTTTATTGAATATAAATATAATCCATAACCTCACCAGTTTCATTGATGACAGCAAAAAAAAAAGAGTTGATTAAAAAAGGTTAAATGTAAAAAATTTTATTTTAATAAAAATATAAGTAAAATAGGAACAGTTAAGAAAAACAGGGAAGAAAAACTAATACCAGATATTCATCCTTCCTTGATAATACTTGATTAACTGTTTGAAAATCGAATAGAGGAAATTATAGAAAGTTTCCTTGATTATAATTGTCAAGAAGTGGGAATAACTATAGCAGGCTATGTTGCAAAAAATCATCAAAAAGGTCTTAATGTGAAAAATGCAAAGCTTGTTTGAAAGATGGAGATATTGATCTTGAATATAATTCTTATCTATCTCTCTTGTCACGTGGTGGACTACTTGTTCCATCCTAACAGCTTTCAGAATTTGTTTGAAGTATATTTGCTATTTTGGATTTAATTGAGAATGAAACTTCATCTCTATCAGTTCCAGTCAATAAATCATCAAAACATCTATTACATAAATATGCACCAAAAAGCAAAATTGTTTGTAAAAATCATGAAAACTGGGGAATCACATTTTCAATAAAAATTCTTGTTAATGTATTTTGTAATAACAAGCAAAAACTATCAAAGGATTTAACTTCTAATAATAATTTAAAAACATTTAAAAGAGGCAAATATATATATATATATATATATATATATATATATATATATATATATATATATATATATATATATATATATATATATATATATATATATATATATATATATATATATATATTTATATATATAAATGTATATAGATTTGAATAATTTCTGTGACAATTCTCCAACAAATGTTACACAATTTTCTTTAAATCTTTGAAATCTTATTTTATCTTATTTTATCTTTTTTTTTTTTTTTTTTTTTTGTTGACTAACCCAGTAAGCACAAGACGCATTTTAGACACTTATAGACGTCTAAAACTAGTCTAGGTAAAGACGCACTTTTATAGGCGTTATAAAGACATCTTTTAGACGTCTTTTATGAATGCGTTTTTAAAATGACGTTTAAAAGGCGTCTATTTAAGCGTTAAAAAAACGTCTAGAAGATATCTTTTTTTAAGACATTTTCTAGACGTCTTTAATAAATGTGATTTTAACATGACGTTTAAAATATGTATTTTTAAAGTTTAAAAAGACGTTAAAAAGACGCGTAATAAATAGTCTAAAATACGCATTAAAAGACGTCTAGATCAAAGCTAAAAGACGTCTTTTCTGAGACCTGTTTATAAATATGTCATTATGACTTCTTTTTGACGGCTTTGTCATTACGCGCTAATTAGATGTTGTATATTCAAAGTAAAAACATAGTTTTTAATATTTTCAATAATTTGTTCAAGTTTTAAGTGTAAATTACTTTAAATTAAATTACTTTTTTACACAATTGCTAAAATTGTTGTCACAGGAATAACTAAAATAATTGCTATAATAATAATATATCTTTTTTTTATTAATAATTATTTTGCTTTTTTAATAGATAGTTGACTGATCATGATAATAAGTGAAAATGGCAAGAATAATATATAAGTTAAATATTAGTACTTTTAGTTTTTATACACCCACAAGCCATATAATAAGTCAAGATTGCGGTCAAAAATTAGCTAGCAATAGGTATAATAAATTTTTTATAACTAAAGGTTAGTTGTAAATGTTATAAATACTGTTTTGATATATATTTGTTATTGTTTATTATTATTTTCATCTTTGATGCATCAACCGTTGGTGGTGATTACAGCAATATTATTTTGATTGCTGGTTCCTATGTATATTTTGTACATACGAAATAATAACAATATATGATGCTATAAATACAATGAATATATACCACATACTACGCGAAAATGTTACGTCATGTACTTAAATTTATCTTGATAAAAGCGTCTAACATACGTCTAAAAGGCGTTTTTATAAAGACGTCTTCATTTAGACGTCTTTTAGCCTTATGATCTAGACGTCTACAAGTGCGCCTTTTAGACCTCCTTAAAGACATCTTTAAAACGTCTTTTAAACGTCTTTGTGCTTACTGGGAAGGTACCCCAAGACGTTCTTACGGTCTTATCGCAGAGCAACGCGGAAGAGCATTTAATAGG